TTGAAAAATATATTCTGAACTGCTCATGTTCCTTAGAGTGGAAACTATTTCTTCTGGCATTTAAAATACTCTTCACTTTGACCTTCAGATTTGTTTGGAATCGGTGTGTTATTCATGCGGTGTGAACAACATTAACTCTCAGTCTCTAATGCTTTACTGTATTTTTGTGATTGTATGATCCTGTAATATCTGTCTGATTCTAGTATTAAAACAGAAGCCAACAAAAATGGTGCACTGTTTTACTTGACAGATGGACAGATCACATGTGCTGCACTAACAAGCCTGTAGCTGAAGACAGGAAGGCAGGGGAGAGAGAAGGAATTCATGTAATTTAAATATGTACAACTCCTGACACCATTCAAAAAATATATGGTTGTCTGTCTACTTAAAACTAAGATGCCAACTAAGTATTTGCCTGTTTTTACATGCTTGCTACTACCCAGCTGAAATTACATTATATAGCTAGCTAGATACAGGGGTGACCAGTAATTTGTGCTCAGGTAGGAGGAGTTTAGTAAGAAGTAGAGTTCTGTTGTAGGTGCTTTTACGTGTAATAGTTGGAATCTGATGTCTGTACTGTTTAAAGACAAGTGGCAAATGTTTTTGTATTCATGCTGTACCTCTACTGCTGTTTGGTGGGTAGTTCTTATTTGCTCTGACTTGTAACTTAGCAACTCTTATTTTGTATTTTCGTAGTATTGGTTGGGGTTATTCCTTCCTGGTCTTCTAAGGGATAAAGAACATGTGTGTGCATGCATGCACATACTCTTACAAAGCATTTAGGCAAATAAAATTGTGTTGCTCCTTCTTCCTGGTTATTTGTGAGAGGAGTTAGCTGGGCTGGCCCAAAGCTTTATGTTGGAATGGCCAGCTGCTGATAATCGTGTGGTAGCTGCATTTCTGCTATACAACACACCTCGCCTGTAATCCAGGTCAGCAACTAGCAGCAGTCCAATCCTTCATCTTCCTAGTTTCAAGGGAGCTGTTTTCCAGATCCTAACTGGAGGCAGTCTAGCTCAGCCTGCTTAGGCTTACCCAGGAGGAGAGAGCTGTGCTGGTGTTTGGCCACCCTCCCTATTCTGCCCTTGCCCTTCTGCGAGGAGTCCCGTGGTCTGCGTGGCAGCTGCTTGGGAGGTGAGCAGGTGGCTCTGTGGCTTCCCAGATGGGGTCTTGCAGCTTGAAAGCATGATTTTTTTCCCCATGTTGGTATTTCATAACTCCCAACTAAGTAAAATTCAATTTATAACTTGACTCCTTTAAGCATTTACACAAACAAGCGTGTACTACTAGTTTTTTGTGGTGATTAATGTGTATTCCTCCTTTCCCTCCTTGTCCCCAAAGCAGCTGTGCCCAGTTAGGCTGTAGTGAGGTAAGAACACTTAAGGTAGTAAGCCTTGCAGAAGTCAGAAATTAATGGAAAACCTGGGAACTGGTCAGTCTGGACTCTGCTGTCCTTGCATGACATTTTATCTTCCAGTATTGAGAAGGTATTTTTTTCGTCATTGCATCTGATTGTCTTTATCTATGGCTAAACTTGAGTTGCAGAAGCTCTTGAATAAGCAGAAAGATCTTTGTGTGATGTTTGGAGATAAAAACATTTCAGAAAGTAGGACAATCCTTTTGCAGACTTTACAGAACTGATAATACACCATTGAAAATACTTTACAAAAGAAAGATGAAAACTCATGTTCTGCACTAGGAGGTGTTAGTGGGTGTCTTTAGAGGAGTGTATTTAACAGTGACAGCCAAAATGTATAGGTTTTGGGTTATATTCTGACAGGGCAATTAAGCAGAAGAATTTCTGGTACAGAATTCTTTTACAACCCCAGTCTTCATTTGCCTTCTTCATCTAAGTATTCTGATAATGTCTTCAGGTTTCATTGTAAAATAATGAATGAAGCCCTGTGTGTATATGTAATTTGTAAGGCCTTGTCTGTCCTCTGTAGAGTTGTCTCAACTGCATTTCTGGGATGCAGCAATCTCAAATCTTTCCTTGTTTTTCACCATCTAGCTTTTGGACCCTGACCATTTGTGCACTGCTTCTCAGAGGTTTGTGAAATATATTTTGGATAAGTGACTGTACTGGTGGGTTTAAGTGAACTATAGAGGAGTCCATGGGGAAAAAAATTAGGGGTCAAAGTTTGAAAACACATTCTTACTCCATTTTTGTTTTTAAAATTTGAATGCATGAGTGAGTGATTGTGAGAATTTGCAGTACAGCTGAGCTGCTACTGCAGAGATTGAGTTGGATTCCTGTCTGATGGAAGAGGAGTTGTCAGCTTTAGTTTTCTGACAATGAGGGGCAGCAAAGGCAAATGCTCAGTTATGCTCTTATGGATGGGAATGGTATTCCTGTTTAAGGAAAAACAGCCATCCTACTTAAATAAGAGATGATCATGACATGGAATGAGGTATATCTGTGTTGTCTGTGACAGTGTGACTTGGCCACATCCATTTCCTCTAGAAACGTAGCTTTAGTTTCAGGGTTTCTCCCTTACCGCCATCCATATTGTTCAGTGGATTTTGTATTTCTGTTTGTGCTGCAATCTTTGTAATACCCACATCTATTCACACGTAACAGTTTGATCTGACACAACTGGAAAATAACATCATACAAATCTCGTGTTCCAGAAATAAAGAAAGAATACCTCAGGGTAGCCAGTCTGGGCATCCCTGAATGAAGCAGTGGTGGGGTCTCAACCAGGAGCACTGCTCAGTTGCCTGCTTTTCTTGTTTGGACTCTGCTTTTTTTTTTTGCTCCATTTTAAACTTGGAATAGGACTAGTTAAACCCAACTTTTGTACAAGCAGAAATTAGCAGTCTAATCTGAAAACATTTTTTGTGCTTAAACCCAAAACTAAGGTCTGACCTTGTATGTGAAGCAGTTTGTGAAGCAGTTATCACTTTTTACATAAGAAGTGTACAAGATCAGTCAGAATCCTGCTAGTACTCTTCAGTTCACCTTTGACTGGAAGGATTTAATTGATCACACAATGTGTATTTGTTGTCATATAACTTCACTATGGCTGAATGGGTGGCAAAGATACATTTATTTCCCTATATCTAAGGAAAGTAACGCTAACTTGTCTAATGTATTTACTGTTGCTCATAGCCATTCACACAGTTTCCAGCAACAATTTTTTCTAAAGTCTTTGGTTTCCACCTAGACCAATTCCTTCTTAACTCTTTCTCTTTTTTCTCAGACTGATTGTTACCAGGTCTGCAGTTTGCATAGTATTTTTGAAATCTCTAGAATGAAATGCCTGATTGAGCTGGCAAAAACCCATCAGTTGTGGTATAAGAAATTGGACTTAGGCCATTGCTGTATCCTGACATGGACGTGCTTCCCTGCCCTGGGCAGTGTTGCCTTCATGACATGTTTTGTTACATTTGAGAAGTGTGAGTGGTGGACCACAAGGATATTTTCAGCATTGCAAAACCGTAGGTCCAAAAGACTTGGTTTTGGGTAATTTGCACGTGGCTTCTGTAAAGATTTTAATTTCCTCTTTTCATTTAGTACTCACAAAATGACAACCAGGAACTATTTATGTTCCCTCATTGCCTGGAGAAGAGAAAGCTTCGGGGAGACCTAATTGTGCCTTTCCAGTAGCTGAAGGTTGCCTGCAAGAAAGATGGAGAGAGAATATTTAGAAGGGCTTGGAGTGACTGGACAAGGGGAAATGAACTGAAAGAGAGTGGGGTTAGATCAGATACTAGGAAAAAATTCCTCCCTGTGAGGGTGATGAGTCACTGAAACAGGTTGCCCAGAGAAGGTGCCCAGAAGTTGCCCTGTTCATGTCAGTGTTCAAGGCCAGGTTGGATGGAGCTCTGAGCAACCTGGTCTAGTGGAAGGTGTCCCTGCACAGGGAGTGGAACTAGATGATCTTTAAGGTACCTTCCAACTCAAACCATTCTATGATTCTGTGATTCTATGATTATTTGAGATGAGACCTTTCAAAGTTGATCCAAATGCCAGTTAATGGAGAGCAGCAGAAATCCTTTCTTATTCTGTCTTTGGTAACCAAAGCCATGCCTTGGAGGTGGCAAACACGCAGCATGTTTCCGATTTTTCTTTACAGCATATACTTGACATTCATCAAGTATTTTTCTGCTCTGATTGAACTGCCAGCTTGCAAAGTACCTTGGGTAAAGTATCCAAGCTGTAGTACATTTGGTAGTCTAGCAGATGGGGTTTGTCTATTTAAAAAGAAATTTGACATGCACATTCAAAGGTAATTGTGCTAGAGAATAAACTTTTAGACTGCCTATGCAACAAACTGAAAATCCAGGGTTTAACTGAATGTCGCTGCAGTCTAGATTTTGTTTTATTTAATTGTGTGATTAGATTAGTGGATCAAGAGCTATGGACAGCCCAAAGCACAGCAAGTAACCATCTCTTTGAAACAGACAAAGCCCCTGTGGCTTAAATGTCCCCGTCCTCTGAACAGTCAGCAAGAAGCTGGTGCAGTAATCTTGCTGCAATGGTTGGTCTGTACTTAGAATGACTTCTTCACCAGAGAGCTCCAGCTCAGGCAGGTTTTCATTGCTTTGACGGTGCTGTGTCCATGCACAGCACATGCAATGCCAAACACAAAGCAGTGAATCACTGCGTCACAACTACTCCATCCTCGTGTGGTTTCCCATTCCTCCCTCTCTCAGTCTCAAGGAGAGTGATCTTGGGCTCACATAACTCTTGTTGGCATCCCAAAGATTCTTGGAGGCCACCGTAATATCATCACTTTTTTCCCACAGGACGCACGTGGGAAATGGTGACGAGGAGGTGTTCATAGCAAAGGTCATGGGCCTGATTTGATTGATTCTCAGGATTCTGGGAGTTTGCAGCATCAGCAGAAACAGGTTAGCATATTATCACTGTAAGAAGAAGGAGAGAGAACACCTGATAGCCCATGGGAGTTGGGATTATTTGCCTTCACACAGTAAACTTAATAAAAAGTGACTACAATGAAAAAAATATAGGTAAACTTACTTTAATATATTGTTAAGATTATTATATACTATTAAGTTGCCTCGAAAGCTGTGTGTAATTTGGACACTGCAGGGAGATGCCTGATAGCAGAAGGAATTAAGAAAACGTTATTTATTGTTTCTGTACACAGGAGAATATTTTGAATGTAGAAGGGGCCCAAGAAATTTAAAGCATTTTTGTAAGTGGTTATGTCTTTGCTCTTCACAGATTATTGAATCTGCAAAAAAAAATTTAAATCATTAACTTCTCAATGTTTACAGCTTAAGAGGAAGAGACTTTACAGGAGTTTGAGAGAATGTTCTCTTACTGAGACTTTTCTTGAAGTTAATTTCAATTAATTTTAAAAATACAATTAATTTTAAAAATGAAATTTAAAAGTAATTAATTTTTTAATTTTAATGGGAGGGGTTTGTAAAGAAAAAATTTCTCTTAGTATAATCTGCAGGAACCATAGTGTTTGAATCTTGGTAGGCCTGCTCTTGTCCTAGATAATACTAAAAATAAATCGGTCATTCTGATTGGTGCACAATTTTTATTAGAAGTGGAAGTTTAGGAAAGATAGAAACTGGAGGTAAAGGTTTGCACATTTACGTGATAGGTGGTCAATGCATTACTTGCAGTTAAAAACAAGATTACTTTGAAATGTATTCAGAGTGCTCTACAGAATGCTTAATTACTGAGTCATGTAATTGATTTTGGTATGACATCAAACGGTATCTGAGAGGAGATTGCACTGCCACGTACATATTAAAACAAAAAAATCCAACCATGTTCCTTACCCAAATGAAAATGGCTTTCACCTAAAGGTAGAGCTTTGTTGAGTGTACACTTGTAAAAGAAATATTGGCAAGAACAGCCTCTTGATCAGGCAGTCAGGGTTAGTAATCAAAGTGCTCTAAAAATGGAGCTTGCATGTTTGTGAGAGGTAGCATTGCAAATAGTCCTGTGCTATGGTCTGAGGTAACTGTGTTTTCCTGTTTCTAGAGCAGAGTGGGATCGATGGCTCCTGATAGGGCTAATCGGAACAGCAGTGGGGGTGCTGGGGTTTTGATTCATGAGGTAATTGACTTTCTCATCAAATGGAAATGGAACCTGGTGGAAAATTACCTGCAGGTGAGCAAGAAAAAGTCAGAGTGACATTTTCTGTGTTTGTTTATTAGAAAATCAACAGTGTGAAGTTGTAGCTATGCAGAGGTGCTGCCAGTCTAGGTGGATGTGGAGATCAGATACCCTGCAGTCCTTTGCTACAACTTAGGCTGCAGTACAGTATAATATCTGAGGGTGTTCTTGTTATGAGATTGATGAAAGCAGACTTTAAAATACTGCGGCCTTCCTCTTTCTCCTTGTACTCAAGAGGCACGTGCTGCTTTAGGTATGGTTGATACCCAAGGGAAGGGATTAAGATTCATAAAGATACTTGGTGACTGTGGACCTGATATCAGATATGTTACTTCTATCTATGTCTGGGGCAGCTATATTTTCAGTAATAGAATATTGTGGAATTATTAATTTGTTCTTGATGGATATCATTGTCTCTGTGATAATTAGCATGGTGATAGTAAAAATCACTGAATGGGTAAAACCAGAGTAGATGTTAAGGCATCACTGACCCTGACTGCTTGCTTTTCTCACCTGTGGAGAGAAGCAGGTGGTAAAATTTTCAGTTGGCTTGTGATATCTCTGGTAGATGGTATAAATACCAAAATGCTTCTTGTGAGAAAGGGGCTTTGAGCTTTTGTTCCAGCTGAATCCTGACCAGGGAGGATCAGGAATCCTGTCAATGGGTGCTGGGCGGATGCTGTATAACCATCAATCACAGCATGCAGCCAGCAATTTGTGCAGCAGGAGGCCAGGGTCTGGGCTGACAGTGCTTTTGTGCTCAGCAGCAGTGGCAAGGAGCAGCTGGGGGTCCCCAGCAGCCAGCAGAGAAATTGCCCCTGCCTCAGCAGAGGCTACGGCCCAGAGCAAGCTGCTGAAGGAGGGTGTAGGTCTGCAGATTTGTGGCTCTGGGCAGTGCTGGGAGTCTCTCACTGAGGCTGGAGCATGGCAGATGAGCTCCTTGTCTGCACAGATGGGCTGGGATAGCTGGCACTTCTGTAGCACTGCAGGAGCTGGATAGAGGGTCTTTAGGAAGGACACACCATAGTTAGGAGCAGGAGTTGTATGAAGGACAAGAAGGTGCTTGGGAGTAGTCTGCATGGATTTACAATGGATAGCAACCTTCTACAACGAGAGGACTGGAACAGTGGATGTTTTCATTTCAGCTTTAGCAAGGCTTTCATCACTGTCTCCCATAATATCATCACAGACAAACTGATGGTGTAAGGGTTAGATAAGTGGACAGTGAGATGGATTTAGCTGGCAGAACTCCTGGGATCAAAGTGTTATGTTCAGTGGCACAAAGTCCGTCTGGAGGCTGGTCATCACGGGTGTGCCCCATAGGTCAGTACTGGGGCCAAATACTGTTGGATGTTTTCGCCAATGACCTGCATGACGGGACAGTGTTGTGGTGCACCCTCAGCAAACTTGCAGGCAAAAGCAAAACTGGAAGGAAGCAGTGCTTGATAGACCACAAGGCTGTGTGGTACCAACAGCCTCCTAGTCTGCATTAGGAGTGGTTGCGGGAAGTGCAGCAGGTTGAGGGAAGTGATTTCTTCCCGTCTCTTCAGCACTGGTGAGGCCAAATCCGAAGTACTGGATCCAGTTTTGGGCTCTCCAGTGCAATGGATATGTGGATGTGTCCTCCAGTATTCTGTGGAATCAAGAAAATGGAACACTACTGCCAACTACTGAAGGACAGATCTCAATCACTTCACAGAAATGCAAGGGAAGGGTTATTCTGTGGAGCAGATGGAAGCTGAATATATCAGCAGGAATATTCAAGAAATGAACAAGTTTAGGTTTTCCATGGGCAAAGCATATATAATGCTCTTGGAATATTATTTCCCTGATTTTTTTCCTATACAAACTATGTGCATGTTTGTAAAATATATAAACAGTGGATAAATACACATGCAAATGTGTATGTGTACATTTGTATGTATATATTTGTATGTGTGTATATATACACACTAAAGTATAAATAAAGAATATATAGAAAGAAACCACAGTTTGACTCCAGGGCATCACAGCCACTGTTAAACACACTGTTGGTCCTGTTGTGTTATAAAATTTGTCCTGTTGTATTAGGCTAATACAGAGGGACAGGAGCTGAGCTCTGACATAAGTACAAACATGTAATTCCTGCTCTGGAACATCTTCCCATCTAAATACCTCCTTCAGCTGCAGATGAGCAAATCTCTATTTTGTGCGCTTTGCTTTGCTGTTTGGCTGTGCTGCGCAGTGCATTTACAAAACACTTGATGGCAGATGCTGCTGAGAAGGCTGCAGTGTCTGGGTACGACACTGTGACCTCAGAAATGCAGGGATGTGCTTGACCTGCACCCACAGTGTCTCACAGTGAAGTACGTGGGAGTTGAGGATTTCTGGAGACAGCACCACTGTGGTCACCCCAAGCACAAACAAACCAACCAGCTGAAAACCCAGGATGACCAAGACATGTTTTTTGAATGTTAGAATGCCCAGTATGAGAGAGATCCTTTTGGCTAAAATAAAGCAGGGGAGAACTTGCTCACGTATATTCTGTCTACTAATAACAGCTGCAAATTCATGAAGATTATTACTGATGTAAGACTTTGAAGCCTCTGCTCAGGCAAAATTCTTTCTGTGGTAGTGTTTTCTTGTGTGTGTTCTTAAGGTCCTTGAACTCTGCTCTTGACCTGAGAAAGGTCTTGATGAGTAACAATGTATCCTTTATAATGTTTTTAGAGATGGGCAAGAAATCCTGGGAAAAATAAATTACTTGACTCTGAAAGTCGTGATTCACCTTAGTCTTACTCACTCCCATCGTTCTAAAGAGCCTGTGCTGCTTGTTTTGATTTTTTCCCTATCGTACACCTTCTGCCTGCAGAAATTTGTGGAACAAAAGGTGATTGAAAAGCAGGATCTGGTCTGTGAGTGGTGATGTAGTAATCTGTTTGTCCACCCAACATCCACATGACCTGGCTGTTTGTGCTTTGGTCAGGGTTGGCCTTGGTGGTTCTCTGTTCAGGCTCAGTGCTGGTGAGTGTTAGATCTCCTATGCAACAAATTAATAACGCTGTGATAAACTGAATCTTTTACTCTTCTGTATACTGGTTGATTCACTACTTTTTTTAACACCCCCTCCTTCCCCTTCCCCTCCCCCCCAACAGTTACACAACCCCATTGGAAAGGTCTTTCTTGGACTTCAGCCTAAAGCTGGATTCCACCACCCGTAACTTGTATAAAAGTGTCTGGGGTGAAATCAGCGGTGGTGGCGATGCAATTTACACTTAGCATGTGGTGTTTATAAAATAAATATAAGTGGCAGCTGGTGTAACTCAGGAAAACTCAGTGTTTGGAAGGGGCCTAAGCCAAAGACCGTCAGTCCATATAAAAGTTCCTGTTGGTTTTAGATTGTTCATTTAGCTGTGCTATGTGGGTATTGCATGTAGCTCAGTTTAGTACTTTTATGAGGCAGCAAGGCTAAAACATTGAGCTTTTCTGTCATTTACTATCCTACTGTGTTCAATTTAATTATAGACAGGCAATTAACAGCATAGGTGAGAGGAAAAGTGAATATTTTACTGGACTTACCCTGAAATTCAGCAACAGGAAAACAGAGTTTGCTGTTATACACACAGTAACTACCCAGGTTTAAGCTTTCTAAAGTCTAAATTGACTGAACAAATCACACAGGTTCACATGTACACCCTGCCCCTTAGACAGTCTGTGCCAATATAAGAGTCTCGTTGGCTTCAGGCATCATGGAGGGTTGGCAGGGGTCTGGGTCTGGGAGAGAGGCCCTTGTCAGTTGTTTTCCTCTCTCTTTACCCTCAATATGTGTGTAGCAACACTGTGGGGAACTTGAATTTTTGTGCATAGCCAGAAGTTGTATGTGTGTACCTATGTTGACTGTTAATTCTGGGAAGTTTGTTTGTGAACAGAGCAAGGTGAGGGCTAGGCTGAAAAACTGTGTCCATGGATGCATCTAACACATCAACATCTGATAATTGTTGATTCTACTTCTGTCTTCTTTTTTAAATTTTTTATTCCTTTGCAGTCCTTTTGACCAGCATGTTCACAATTCTGGCTTGCCAGAAATTATTGGGTGTTTGAATGGCACTTCTATTCAACATCTTTTTAACATCAAGACATTTTTAGGGACATTTGTCTCATATGTGCTGGCTGTGGCCTCCAGGCTCTTCTGCAGGCCAGAAGGTCCCATGATCCATTTGAGGTACGAAATAGCAGACAAATGTTAAAGCTATCAGGCTGAGGGTATGGCTTTGTAACATCTGTCTTGGTGGCAGCACTGGCTTAAAAAATACTCTGCACTGAGAGCTCTTTTCACCCGTGCTTTTCCCCACACCCTTTGCATTAGCACAGCTACTCATGCCATGCAGTAAAGAAAAGATTTGTTCACTGTGTGTTTTAAATAGTGCCTTGGTTCCCTAGCACAGTTCCCTGTGATGCTCAGCAAGCAGTTATCTGGACAACTGCAATCAGTTTTGTTTCTGAAAAGCCACCTGCCCCACAGCTATGGCCTGCTGGTTGCTTTACATCTCGTGTGACTGCTTTTACCTGTGCAAAGTCTGCAGCCAGTCTCAGGTGGCTGCACACAATGGTGGCAATAATTTTACAGCCACCTGCAGAAGTGCTGTAAGTGGCTGTGCAAGGCACATAGTGATGGACAGCCTGGGGTCTGTATTTCCAGCTTGCAAACACAGCAGACACCAACTCCAGCTGAGGGCAACTGCAGGAACCAGGCGCTGCTCTGCAGGTGGCAGATTGGAAGTTGGGTTGAAGCTGCTTGTTGTTCCTGCAGTAATGTAATACTAGGTTTCTATATGGGGAAGAGTAGAGTTTATAGTCTTTTTGAAGGATAATGGTTTCTGTGCCTTCTTCTTATGCACAAAGGAAGAGAATCCCATCACCCTGTTGTGGTCTGGACCTTGTAAGGGGGCAGAGAAGAGTTGCCCATTCCAGCTCTGTAGGTAAGGCAGATCTTAAAATTTGCTATGTTGCAGTATAACCAAACTAGGTAAGTGCAAGCCAGATTTTGGGCTTTTTGTTTTGGAAAGTGACCTAATTTCCTTTGTTCATCATTTAGAGGAGAATCCTGCTGCACTTTATTACCTATTTGGAACCATATCTTGAGTAGAGATGGTAAAACTGGTCTCTGCTAATAGGATGTAGGTTGTTTGTTGGCTGTTTTGCTGTTTTGTTTCTGATCCGTTTTGGTTTTGGAGAGCATTCATCCTTGAGGTTTGTTCTCTCCCTCTTCACCACCCTCACCAAAGCTATTCTCCTGACCATCCATTCACATTTTGTGTTGCTCAGTGGGTTTATATTTATTTATTTATTTATTTATTTGCACAGAGGTGTAGCACCCTAGGGGATGACTCAGATGTTCATAAATAGGAGCCCGTGGTTAGTCAGCGGTGGCCACAAACCTTCTAGACAATGCTTACCAAGCCTTAGCTCTCCCTTTTGGTTTGTTTTGTTTTCTTCGCTTTCAGACATTTGTCTCCAGGAGCTCAGAGACTGCAGCTGTGATTTCTTTTTTTCCTTTGTGCTAGGTTGGTAACAGTGATGCATGAGCCAAAGAGCTGAATCATATTTCCGTGAATAAAGTCATCACAGTATCAACGTGATGCCTTTTCAAAACATAGGAATTAAGAGCTAGTTTAATTTAATTTAGTTGGAACCCTCCACCATTTTTATTAAACATAAACACACATGAGTTGCTAAAAGCCTCTGAGAGATTTGTTAAGGCTTCAAATTTAAGTCTTGCAGAAAAGTCTTCCAAGATTATACAATGAATAGATTTTTCATTTCACTAAGGGTTTGGATTTTTTTCCCCCATTTAAATGCAGTTTGAAGTGCTGCCTGGGAACACACTGTAATATTTAAATCATTACACATCTTTTGTTAGCATTAGGGCTGTTCTGGCTGCCGTGGTCATTAACCTGGGAACAGATGATTGAAGTGATAGGCTAAAGTCTGACATGTCACCACATCTGGGCAGGCATTAACATGGGCAGACATTCTTCAAAGGCATTTCAGGGACTATCATCATAATACCCCTTGCAAAAGAGACATTTAAGTCTCTGAGTCATGAATCTGAAAGCCTTTAGTAGCTTTCTCCTTTATGTCAACAGGACTTTGCATATTTAAAAGACATGCTCAGCATATTCTGTGTTGAAGTCTGTTGAAACCAATCTAGCTCTGCTACTGCGCGCCAGCTGAGGCTCTGTCCTCCTCTGCCTTTAACTGTGTCTGATTTATGAATGATTTACCAAAGAGTGCCCTCAGCTGTACGACATCACTTTTAGTGCTCTCCTGGTTTGTGGCCCTGAGCCAGCTGCAGTTGGACACCCTTGGCATCCACCTCCCGATCTTCACCAAATTTTGGAATTCAACTGATAAGTGTTAGGCAGAGCTGTGGGGCTCTGCAGGGACCACTCTGCCACCTGCCTTCGGTGCCCCAGAGTGTCTGGTGAGTCATCAGTGAGCCCATTGCATCTGGAAGGGGCGCAGACATGCTGTACTTGCAATCTTTAAACCTTTCTGCTGTTTGTCATTTTGGAATAGGGAAAAAGCCACCCAGTCTAATTAAAAGAAAGTTGATTAATTAAACAACTTTAAAGTTCCTTAATTAAAACAAAGTTCATAGGTTGTTTAATACATTAATACAGAAGACTTTTTTTCCCATTGCCTTCTGGGTTGTATAAGGAGGGAGAAAAATGAAAGATTTTTACACATGGACTTTATCCTTAAATTAACGGTGCTGTCCCAGGAAAAAATAGATTATGGGAATTGCACAGTGTGCATGGGTGGGCCTTGCTTTATTTTACAAGTTTTGAAAGAGTAAATTGTTTGTGACACTTTTTTAGTCTGGCTCTTCTCTGCTCATGGGTGTCTGTGAGATAATTCTGGTAAACTCTCTCTTGTGAACAGTTCTACTGAAATTAATGAGATTAGTTTCCAGTAAAAGAAATTGCAGCCAGTTTATGTCATCTGGATGGTATTTATTGTCATGTTGACATACAAAACCCTATACAATGCTGTTTAATTTTTTAAAGTAAAGATAAAAAAAGAGACTCCTGTGTGTTAATTTCCTGAAGAAATAGAAAGAATTCAAATGAACAGTCACTTGTGAACTGTCTGTAGCTTAAAAGTAAATCAAAAAGCACCAAAGGGATGATATGGGATCTCTGTTGCCTTTAGCCTTTTAAGATCAGTCATTTAAATAAATCTGCTATGTGATGGCTAAACAAAATGTTACTCATGGAAAAAATCAGCAATTGCAGTCAGAGAAGTATGTATAGAAAATGTTTGTTTTTCTTTGCAGAATCCAGTTACAGTATAATTAGAAAGGAGCATTAGCTTGCAGTCAGGAACCATCCCTGAGAGACAGGTTGTATGGATGTCCCCTTCACAGAGAGAGGGTTGTTGGTGAGCAGCAGAGACAAATTTCAGTCTGAGACCTCTTTACAAAGACCAGGATGACATGCTCCCACTCCTCTAGAATGTTTTGGTGTTAAAGTAGGCTCAAGTGTTTTGTTTACTTGATTGCAGCTAGTACTGAACCCTCAGCATGTCTACAAATTACCCCTGAGGTCTCAAGTATCCAGAGGATACAGGTTTTACAAGCTTGTGAGCACTATTGATTAGTGCATTAGATGTATCAGCATCACTCCAGTAACTCCTGCAATGGCTGGCCTTGATTCTGTGTTTCTAAGGCAGAATTCAAGCATAATTTTATTTCCTCTTTCTAAATCCCTCCATTTTGTACACTGTGTCCTCCATTAAAAGTGTAACATTTGTCTGATTCAGGATGTTGTTTTAATAGAATGAAGTAGGTGTTTTGGAAAGCAAATTATGTTGTGTATGGGAAAATATATAAATGTATAAAGGAAGATTGTTCACTAGTGCCTTTTTTACAATAATGTAATTATTTCCTCTTTCTCTTTCTTCTTTTCCTCCTTGTTTTCTTTACTGGCAGTGGCTCATAGTGCAGACCTCCAGCAGTTGAGCTCATTGTGCTGCTTACAGCAACAGAAGTTTGTTACTCTTTGGGGCATATGTGGGCTCCATATCTTTACAGGGAGGGAGACAAGGTATAATGTTCCCTGTGGATTTATCAGACATTTATAAATTGAGGCAGCATGTTGAGCCTGCAGGCTCCAGGGATGTACTCTTATTCTCCAGTGAATCCTAAGCTTTCTTACCTTTTTTTTCACTGCAGTGTTTCACTGCTATGACTTGCACTGTTGCAGGATGTGAAGTGGCATGTCTTCCTGGCCTTGGGCTGGTTGGTGCTAGTTCAGCTAGCTCACTATCATGGCGCAGTGGTCCTCAAATGGTGTTTAATGACCTTGTAATAAACCATCGGGTGTTTAACAAACCCAACTTTGAGAGGAAATTATGCTTATGGTGTTTGTTGTTTCTCTTTTTTTACCTCTGCTACCCAAATTTTGACTCTTCTACCTGTTGCAGGCGCAGTTTCACTATGGCTGCTGCAGGAGAAGGCATCACGTCGGTATTTCATGCCCCCATTGGTGGGCTCTTGTTCGCTTGAGAAGAATGGCTTCGTTCTGGTACATGAGGCTGGCCTGGCAAGGCTTATTCTGCTGCTTGATGGCCACCTTCACCACGGGTGTAATGTCCTCTTCTCTCTATGGGTTTGTTTGCAGGGGCCATTTCGGATTTTTTGAAGCAGAGAAAAGAATTCTATTTTGGGTACATATTGTGTGGGTGTGGGAGGAAATAGATGCAGGGGTTTAAACTTGTCTTTTTCAGCATTGTTGTTGGGGGAAAAGCAGGGAAGGGGGACTGAGAAGGGGAAAGGCTGGGATATGTACAGTTATCAGATGAGTGGATAAGGATGTCTTCACTCTTTACATCTGGCTGATCACTTAAATACAGCAGAGAGTTGGTTTGTTCTAAATTATAGCGAACAAGTAGACAAAGCATCTACTCTTTGCTTATTAACCAATCATGTTAGTTATTAAGATAACTTTCTGTGTTGATGCTGGATAGAGGAGGGATACTTTGAAGTAAAGGAGAAGGCAGAGAAGCTCTTAAACAGGCTGTCCTCTCCTGTGGCTGGCTCAAGCTCTCAGCTGATGTTGCAGACAGTGCTGTACTGTGCCCCTGTTCCTTGGTGCTTCCAGATTAAACATTTGAAAAGCTGTAATCAGTGTTTGTTCCTGGTTGCAAAATGGAGGTGACCTTCAGCCTCACCTACCTTTGCTTTATTCCTTCCAGCATGGCACAAGCTTATCTTTGGATTTTACCTTATGTCCACCTGAAAGTAGTTGCTTTTATTATCATGACTTTCACTCAATTTTATTGCAAGATAACAATATTCAATAGTGATGTGCAAGTATCATAATCTTCCTTTCTTGTTGCCTAAATATCCTTCTTTGTATTTGACTTGGAGATCAATTAGAGAGCTAGAAATAAACTCTGGTATTCTGAATCCTAATCCTAATTTTTGTTATTATGTAGATTTTTCCTACGGTAATTCCCCTATCACTTTCATTTATCTCTGAATTTCTTCTTGCTTGTATATCTCTGGCAACACAGAAATTAAAAAGATTATGGCATTTTCCACTGTAGCTATAGATTGGTTGGGAAAATGGTCAACATTTTCTGTGTGCATGCTCTCTGCTATATTTGCTTTACCACCAGTTTAGCAGGGGAAAATAGAGAAAACATGGGTTTTCAGCCCAAATTGTTTTTGTGGAACAACTCATAGTGTAGCCCCCAAACAGCTGCAGTTATGCACCAAGAAGATAAAAGTTTGTGGCAGAAAGGTGAGACAATGTGGGCAGGAAAGAGGTCAGGCATTCTGAAGCCAGATTTGTTGCTGAAGCCAAAGTGTTGTATAATTAACAGCTGCACACCCAGGGGAAAGTGGATTCACTTCAGTTGCTGTTTTACAATAAGCATTGCTCTTTTAACACTCAGTTCAGGATGTTTTCTGAAAAGAGCAGTGGATTCTCTCTCCTTCTATCTTAGAGGGAAAAGTTAGCAAAAATTATTAACAACATAACTTCTGGCAGGGTTTGATAGGTTTTGGCTCTCATTGTGGTACAGATAACCAGAAACATTTGGGCATGGGGCTCAGGGGAAATTTTGCTTCTTGTATATTTTGTGGCACTAACCAAACACAGTTTACAGTAGGTAAACTCTTGAGTTGAAAGCTTGTGGGTTATGTTTCTCAAGAAAACTATTTGGTTTTTTTTTAAGTTTCATTCTACCTAGGATAATGTTACAAGGGGAATTTATTGTACTCCAGAGCATGAGATTTTCAGGAAACTTCACTTTATTTTTACTTAGACCATTGGATTAATTCTAAAGGTGAAATGTGCTCTGTAGATACCAGTTTTTTCTTGATGACTGGCCAAAGCTTATGGTTGATATTACAACAAAAACAAACTATACTGTGCCACCTTTCATTCCCAGCATGTGGAACATGCTGGCTCTCTTGACTTTACCTTTATTGCCACACACGTGCAGTGAAATGTGCATATATTACCTTAAAGCAAATACCGCAGTATATCTTTTCCTTTGGAAAAATGGAGGCAGGGAATAAAAAATAATAAAATCATGTGTGTCTATTTTTAGTTTTAGTGAAGGATTGGAATTAGGAAGAATATAATGCAAGATATTTGGGTCCTGCAGTAAATAAAACAGATTTTTTTTCTACTTCAAATTAGGCTACTTCTCTCAGAATTTCAACACCTTAAACATTAGATCCCTTTAAATTCTTTGCAAAAATGTGGATATTGTTGCAGCTATTGTTAAAAATAGCATTATTAATGTTTTGCTTAGTACTCAGAGTACCTGTATATATGATTGTTGTAGTCCTGTTGTAGTCCCTGTGAGTGTAGCCTGCAGGTGTTGATATCTTCTGGTGCCTAGGAATGGCTACTGGGATTCTCCCTCTTCCAGACCCCTTTTCTGCAGCACCCTGTGAACCACGCCTTGAAGCCTGGGTGAGTTTTGACCCTGGCATTTCCCCTCTCAGGAAATATCACCTGTGTTTAGTACAGACACTTTGTGAATTTGTTGAACTCTAGGCTAGCTGTAGCAAGACCAAAAATAAGATTAAGGTTCAAGAAAAAGAAAAGGAAGAAGAAAAAAGAGTTTGAACAGTAAGAGGAGCTCAAGGTGAAGCAATTTAAGGCAGACTTCTCCTATCTCCTCAGACAGTTTCTCCTATCCCCTACCCCCAAGACTATACCACTTTAGGGTTCTTTTTGCAGTCAATCTTTGGCATGTGCTCATCCTGCTTCTTGCCATGTAGATTTTTATGCATTTTATGATCTCTTACTTTGTCCAGATCCGAATCATAACAAAAAGTCTTGTAACCCTAAGCCTGGGCTAGGGAAATAATATCCTCACAGCTTTTAATAGATTACCGCCAACCTGTTGACCCCTTTTTGTTGACTGGAAGACAAAATTAAAACATGATACTTCTTTCATCCTTCCTGCTTGTTGAGGAGTCAAGCAGAAAATTCAATTACTATTACAGCTGCCAGATTATGTTCTGTCCTTGTGATTTGTTGTTCTGCAAGTTGTTCTAGCTCATTGTCAATTTCCACAGTTTTACTTAAATAAATTTACTTACAAGTTATCTCAATGCACATGGATGCAAGTTGACACTTAATAAGTGAACATTCAGCAAAGCTCGGGTTCATCAAAGTCTTTTGAAGTGTTCATTAAGGCCATCATGACATGTTATTTGGATGTAACTTGAAGTGCTGAGTGCTAGTGGTAAGTGAAGTACATCACAGAGGTTTCTGCTATCTGTGCCAGCACCAGTGTATACCTGCTTGCTTCCACTCCTGTGAGGTGTGCAAGAAGAGATCAGCTTGAAATTAATTAGCTGAATTCCCTAAACCTCAAGGAGAGATTTATTTCCTGTGTAGAAATTACTTTGAGGTATCAGGTTTTGTGAGAGAGGGTGTAATAGTTCATGTTACTGGCAGGATGCTCAGGGCATTTTTTCTGCTTTCTTTGACTCAGGTTAAGAACTTACTTAAGAACCAACATCTTGGCCTTCATTCTGACCATCCTCCTTGGTGTGTTTGGAGGTCTTCTAGGAGCTTTCTTTATTTCCCTAAATATAAAGGTTAATAAATTATGTATGCAGTTCTTTAATTCAATTCCAGAATTATCCCCTGGAAAAACAAGCAAGCTGTTGGAGACTGTGCTTATCCTAGTAAGTAAATAATATGGTTGTCTTGATTCTACAATATTTACAGTGTCTAATAAAGGTAGGTCATAAATTGCTGGATGGAAAAGTGAATCTCACCTGCTGGTACTTGATAACGTGCAACAAAGTACAGCAAACATATAGATTTCCAAAACACATATATGTATTTAATGTTGGTAGTTATATGAGAATGGAGAAGGTATTTTTTGTTTGTTTTAGTTTGGTTTTCATGCTTGAATTATTTTATCTGTAGATTTGCTCTCCCACTGCTGTTTCACTCTGATGATACTACATCAGCTTGGTGATATGTAGCAGTTATGCTGGTGTGCTTTTCCATTTATTTGCAATCTGTGGAAGGCTCAAATGTCCTGATAAGACACGATGGGGCCACTTTACGTCTAAGCTTTGGAGTTTCCATTTAGTGTTGTATGGCTTTGGGGAGGGTCATGCCATTGGAAGGAAAAGGGCATAGACAAAATATAGGGATAGGCACAATTCAGGAAGAATTTCTAACACAAAACTAGAACTGGTTTCACTTAGGAAGACTGCAAAATGCATTCTCAAATGGGTTGGAATTTTTTTATTTTTCTTCCTTCTGCCTTTCAGAGAAAGTCACAGGGAGAAGCCGTGAGCAAGCTCTCTCTCCCCCAGGTAGGCACAGAAATAACATGTTTGCAGACATGTACAAGGCCTGCTTGGGCCAGAGAGGGTGGCAGAGGAGATAGAAAAGATACAAAAAGCCCTGGAGAAGGCAGGGCATTGCCTTTTTTCCCTGGAGGCCAGTTGCATAGCATTGTTAAGAAATGGTCCTCGCGTCTGAAATAAACCTTTTTCTAAATCCTTCCACTGCCTTGGCATTCTTGGGAAGAATACCTGCATATGTTTGACCTTACACAGAAAGTTCCTATATTTTGATAATTTTCATACTTTTCAGTTTTACACTTTTTTGTTATGAAGAACATTATGAACTTAATAGTCCTATAAAGACAGGCTGAGAGAGTTGGGATTGTTCAGCCTTGAGAAGAGAAGGCTCTGAGGAGAACTTGTAGCTTTCCAGTACCTAAAGAGGACCTGCAGGAAGCCTGGAGAGGGACATTTACAAGAGGATGTAGTAACAGGAGCAGTGGGAGTGGCTTCAAACTGAAACAGAATAGGTTTAGAAGACATTCTAAAGAAACATTAAAGAAGAAATTCTTTACTGTGAAGGTGGTAGGGCACTGGGCCAGGTTGCCCAGAGAAATTGTGGACTCCCCATCCCTGGAAGTGTTCAAGGCCAAGTTGGATGGGGTTTGAGCAACGTTGTTTAGTGGAAGGTGTCCCTGCCTATGGCAGGGGTATTGGAATTAGATGATCTTGAAGGTCCCTTTCAGTGCAAACCATCCTATGATTAAATTTGGAGGAAGGAAACCTTCAGAATTTTTCTACTGCACTT